AATGCAGTTTTTGCACAGCCTGCGCATATACTTATTCTCATTATACTATGGAAATTTGGTTAAATTCCGATTAGTAGCTTTTGGACAAAATGAAAAATATCACCCCGTTAATAATTTGAAACGCAGTATATATATATATATATATATATATAGCAATGAGTCTAGAAGAATCCTCAACAGAATGCACTGGACGGCCGTTTCGTCCTATCCGGGACTCATCTACCGGGAATCGAACCCAGACGGTTTCGATACAACGCAAACGTCATATCAACTGTACCACGGGACTAGACTCGAATATAGCGTGCTACTCACTCAGTTCTGCAGCGATACTCATTCAAGTATAACCTCGGAACAGTGCCTCAAGAGCCACGACTGCTTCTTGACCCTTAGCAGCTCCATCGCAGAGCATAAGCTGGGTCCAGCAAGATATACCGTTTCGATACAACGAGACGTCACGTTTGCGTTGTATCGAAACGGTCCGGGTTCGATTTTTGGTAGTGGCAAGCGCACTGCTGATGAGTCCCAGATTGGATGAAACGGCCGTCCAGTGCTTTCTGCATTCTGTTGAGGATTCTTCTAGACTCACTGCTATAAGCCTAAATCCCCAAAATTACTTGTGTATACATATATATATATATATATATATATATATATATAGTAAGAGTTTTTAGGCTGGCAGTTTTTTGTCATAAAGTGCTTGATATGAAATGTAAGGATAGAGCGATAATAGAATTAATGTGGAGAAACTTATTGCTCAACTGAGTTGTAATGGTTCAGTCAAGCCAACTTCGAAGTTTCGTGAGCACATTGCGGTAATGTTTTTACTTTTTAGGGCTGTTGGCTTCAGAAGATATGACTCTTGTAAAGACATAACATAGCAGCGGGTATTAGGTATCTTCTGGTTTTGATAGAAGAAATAAATTTTCACCAGCATCTTTACCGATGGCACGAATACGCCAGTGAGTCATTTTTCTCCTCGTTGCAGTTGTAGCATTTAAATTAAATGGTGGAGTAATGGATAGCGGCTCGGTTTCGGTAATCGGAGAGCTGAGTTCGAATTCCAGGCGAATTCATTATTTTCACTTACGTGCTGATACCCCTGGGAAAGGTATGAATCTTCTTCTTCTCCCCCCAGCTATGGGTAAATAGCAGGACAGACCGGATTCTATATCCTTGGATGGCAATTGGTCTACCACACAAAGAAATAGCAACCTGCTGCGGGAAACAGTCTGCCTCGTCAGTCATATATCAAAAGATACATGATCGTCTAAGCGCGTTTATGACTGAAATTAACCTAAATTCACTTCATAGTAATACACTGAACTCTTTTTCTTCTTTATGTGCCATGTCCCTTGAGGACTTAAATGATCACGACTCTCCACAATTTCCTGTCCTTGGTAGCTCTTAATAACTTTTGTCATTTTGCTATTTCTCGTAAACCTTGTTCCGCCATCTTATTTGCTCAAGATTACTAAGTAGTTTATGACCTTTTCTCTCTATCTCTCTTGCCCTCCATCTTTCCTGTGAGTATAAAATTTTAAAAGCTTTTTCACCTCATTTTGTGTCCTATAAATTTCAACTGTCTCTTCCTGATGTTATGCATAAGTTTCGATTTTGTTTCCATTTTTATCTAAAACTTCGTCGTTGCTCATATATCTGGTCCATGGTATCCTCAGTATCCTTCTGTAGAACAATATTTCTGTTGCTTCAAGTCTCTTCTTAGTCGTTGAGGAGGTTGTCCAGTATTCACTGCCATATAGGAGGACAGATATCATATAACAGTTCAGTACTCTTTTCTTTGTTGCTAACGAAGTTTTTCTGTTTCTTAATACGCTGCTTAGCTTTTGGGATGCATCTTTGGCTATCTGGACTTTGTATCGTCGGGACATCAAACGACTAGAAATGTTCCAGCAAACGATGCTCCGAAAAATTCTATGTATTAGCTCGAAGGACCGCATCACCAATAACGAGGCACTCTCTCGGACAGCTCTCTCCGGCATCGAGGCTACCAACCTTTAACATCGCCTATGCTGAGCGGGTCACGTGTCCCACTCGACTCCCACGTATCATCCTGTTTGGAAAAATCGCCAGCGGCCAGAAGCTACGCGTAGGCCCAAAGCGACAATTTAAGGATTAGTTGAAAATTGACCCTGAGACCTGGGAAACCGTTGCTGCAAATCGTTCTTCCTGGCGTAGGACCATCCGAGGGTGGGGGCGAGACATTCGAGTCCAAACTCCAACATGAAAAGGATCTTCCAGCCGCGTCCACCATCCACACTACTCCGTGACTCTTCGGGAGTAAGCTGCACCTTCACAGTCATCTCCGTTGCTGCCACCAGAAGGGAGGACGGGAATAAGGAGAGAGGATGACGATCCCAATATTCCGATGCGAGCGGGCGCCGCCGCCGATGATGACGACGGATAAAATATCAATGATAGAATTCCAAGTTAAACGGCTGTTTTGATCCGCCATTACTTTTAACTCAGTGAACGTTTGTGTCCAGTTAGAAATCTCAGCGTTTGTTAGAAGTGTTTCTATTGGTTGAAAAATGCAAAAGTGAAGACTTAAATTGCTGCCAGCCTATATTCCTCTTCTTTTTTTCTTTTTTTTTTTTTTTTTTTTTTTTTTTTTTTACAAGAAATGAGTCAGCTGAAATGGTCATGATATTTTCAGAAACTGTTGTGAATGAGTTCTTCTTTTGTGGGAATGATCGCGAAATGTGGACATATGATGAAAGACACTTAATGCGACAAATGCTCCTTTTGATTCATTCTTGAGTCAATGTCTTCTCCATTAAGGCAGCTCCTCAACCTTTTTATGTGTGTGTGTGTGTGTGTGTGCTTGCGCGCTCGCTCGCTCGCGTACACATAGTGCTCAAAACGATGACTTATTTTCGCCCACGAACAAAATGACCAATCAGAAGAAAGGGGAAAAAATTTACATACCGTGGACTTTTTATATGTTATATGATACGCTTAAATCTGGGTGTGAATGAGGTTGACAATGAAACAAAATAGTGATGCTCAGACAGGAAGAAAAGGAGAGAAGTTAAATAAAACAGATATGTAGGTGGGGGATAAAAAGAGGAAAAGGTAGTCTTTGTAAATTCTCGACAATGATAAAGAGAATGATATTGCCAAGGCTGGGGTTTTTATCAAGCAACTAGTTAACTTTTATTCCAACATATTTTCTTTCTTTCTTTCTTTCTTTCTTTCTTTCTTTCTTTCTTTCTTTCTTTCAACCTCTTTCTTTTTTCTTTATTTTAACCTTTCTTTCTTTTATCCTTTTTTCTTTCTTTCTTTTAACCTTTTTCTTTCTTTCATTGTTTTAGTCTTTTTCTTTCTTCCTTTCTTTTAGCTTCTTCTTTCTTTTTTTCCTTTCTTTTTTTTCTATTTTCTTTCATTTTTTTTTTTTTTAACTTTTTTTTTCTTCCTTTCTTTTTACCATTCTTTCCTTTTCATTCCTTTCAACATTTTTCCCTTTCATTCTTTCTTTTTTTCCTTTCTTTCTTTCAACCTTCTTTTTTTTTTCTTTATTTTTCAACCTTTTCTTTTTTTTTATCCTTTTCTTTTATCCTCTTTCTTTTCTTTCTTTCTTTCTTTCTTTTAACTTTTTCTTTCTTTTGTTTTACCTTTTTTTTTTTTCTTTTTTTAGCTTTATTTTAACCTTTTTCCCTTCTTTTTTTCTTTCTTTCTTTTTCTTTCTTTTTTCTTTTTTTAACCTTTTTTTTTCTTTCATTGTTTTAGTTTTTTCTTTCTTCCTTTCTTTTTTTCTTTCTCCTTTCTTTTAAAAATTTTTCCTTTCTTTCATTTTTTTCTTTCTTTCTTTCTTTCTTTTTAGCATTTCTTTTTCTTTCAACCTTTTTTTTTTTTTTTTATTTTTTCTTTCTTTTCTTTCTTTTATCCTTTTTTCTTTCAACCTTTCTTTGTTTCTTTGTTTGTTTGTTTGTTTTTCTTTCTTTCTTTCTTTTTTTCTTTCTACTCCGCACGATTTTCTATATAATATTTAACCTCTCCACATTTTTACTCTGTAATAATCACTTTTACCTCTATTTCTCCTTTACTATCCACCAATATTTCTTTTTTCTTCTCTCTCTCTCTCTTCAATCTCTCCCTAATTGTTACACGATTTTATTCCCTTCTTTTTTCCCTTCAAATCTCTTTTACATCTTTCTTTTATCACTTTTATCAACGTTTTTCTGTTCTGTTCTATTACCCTTTTGTTTCATTGTTTTTGGATTTTCTTTCTTTTTTTGCTCCTCACTGCCCTTAGTTTTAATTTTTTCTTTTCTTTTTTTGTTGTTCATATAGTAATTCTTCCGACATTCATCCCTTTCCTTTCCTTTCCTCTCCTTTTCTTTCTTTTCCTTTCCTTTTCTTTTCTTTCTTTCATCTTTGCTTAATTTAGTATAGATTCTTTCTTTCTTTCTTTTTTTCTTTCTTTCTTTCTTTCTATCTAGGATTCATTCTTCTCTCACTTTTTGACATTATATTTCTCCCTCCACCTCTCTATTTGTAAAATTCTTTCATTTCGATTTCCTTGCTTCCGTATGTCTTCTATTATTCGCTTTATTTTCTCCTTCGCAATTATCCCCACATTGCCCAACCATGATGTTCCTCACGCATGCGCACTAGCAAATATGGTTATACATGCTGACGTTTTATCGTTACTTTTTTATGCATCGTGATATTTTATTTCGAAATAGGTTATTTTTTTAAAAAATTCTTATTTTAGCCATTAAAATTTTGAAACTTGAATCCCCATTCGCCTCTAATGGATTGAATAGGACTACTAAATATTGTAGTAAGCATTTTTTAAATGTATTAACAGGATATTTTTTATAATCTTTACTTGATTTACTGAGCTTAGGCGTGTATGGCCCAATGTCATTTAAGAGGAATCAGATAGGAAGATGGTATTGCGCCAATTTCCAATTGAGGAAAGTCAGCCTATTTTTAAAAAGACAACATTCGATTACCCAACTTTTGACCTGATTGAAATCAGACGTAACACACCATTTCTCGTCTGATCACCGAAGTTAAGCAATGACAAGCCCGGTCAATAATTAGGTAGGGGACTGCTTGGGAACACCGAGTACTGTAAGCGACCCCCTATAATCAGAAATATGACTTTTTTTACAGTGACGTTCACCCTGTAGAAGTCGATCATTTTCCCAACATCCTTAGTATTGGATCATATATATATATATATATATATATATATATATATATATATATATATATATCATATATATATATATATATATATATATCTTACCTGGCACATGTCAGAGGGTACGACGAGGCTCTGTCGAAGGGCAGTCTCGTCTCGAAAACTGACTCCGTTTTACGTGGTCTATAGGCAAATTTTTCGGATACCCCACTTTAAAACTCGGCCTTGTACCACACCTTGCTGCGTGAGGCAGCGGGTAAATAATTATACATACACACACACACACACACACACACACACACACACACACATATATATATATATATATATATATATATATATATATATATATATATATATATATCTATATATATATTCCACTCAAGAAGACCGGAGAGAACATCGGACGAAACGTTTCGATTGTAACAACCATGATGACCACGCGGCTTTAAATGGCAAATAATAATAATAATAATAATAATAATAATAATATTGCTATCAATTAAATGACAATTCTCCTATAGAGCATAGGGACCTTAGTTTGGACCCGGCTCTACAGGATTCAAAGCAGGATACATAACATACACAAATGATAATAATAGTAATACTATATTTTTTACAAATTATGATTAATGAAAATTGTCATGAAACCATTTCTGACCACAGGTCTCTGGTTGTGATCCGAAAGGAAATGTGTATATATATATGCGGAAGGAAATAATAATAATAATAATAACAACGACAATTTTATGGGACTTTACACACAGACAGGACAATCAAAGTTAATCGCCCTGACACCGTGATTAGAGACCGCAAAGATAAAATGTGCTTCCTTATTGACATGGTAGACCCTGCAGTCTGTAATGTATCTTTGAAGATCTTCGAAAAAAAAACTATACAAGGACCATGAAATCAAAATCTCAGAAATGTGGTGCATGAAGCCATTAACAATTCCAGTTGTAGTTGGAGCCCTCGGATTGATTGGAAAAGTTTCCAATAGACTCACGGAAGAAATCCCTCGTAGTCCAAACCTTAAAGAAATATAAAATATTGTACTCACAAGTACAGCCCACACATTACGAAGGGCTTTATCTATGTAAAATATGTGCAATTTTTTTTCAAAACTGCTCAGTAGAAAATATCAAGAAGCTATTTCTGACCTTAGGTCGCTGGTTGGGGCCCGGAAAGAAATGAGTATACACCAAAAGCCAAAGGAAATAATAATAATAATAATAATAATAATAATAATAATAATAATAATAATAATTACTGAAAAATTCCGGTAAAAATTCTACACAAGGGTATATGTATTTTTTTATTGAACGTAAAACTCTATCACAATAAATAAATGAAAGAACCTTGTTTAAGGTTTTCATAAACGCAAGTTATTAACATGACAGTCCCTGTAGATAGCAATGAATCTTTGAAGATCTTCGAAATTTTTTTTTTTTTTATTGAAATTGAAACTCTATCACAATAACGAAATAAAAGAGTCTTGTCTAAGGTTTTCATAAGCGCAAGTCCTGGAGTCTGAATCTTAATCCATACTTACGGTTTAACGTAAATAAATGCTTACAGACTCAAATTTTAACGTTTTCTCGGGACTATTGTGGGTTGGTGTAATCTTTTAAATGTCACTCGCCATAAACAAAGACTATTCCAACGAAACAGAACAAAACGCCTATATTCAAAGAGAACACAACACAATGTTATCATCAGATAAAATGGGAATAAAATAACTAGGAATCATTGTAATGAACGAGATAACAGGATTTCAGAACTAAGTAAAAAAAAATGGCACGCAGTAAAAATAAAAACAAGATGAAATAAGTTTTATTTCGAGTCAGTGTGATTAAATACAAAACAAATATGTTGGAAATGTTACAAAGAAAAAGCTCTTTTTGAAAGAGTGAAATTGTTCAAATAAACAATGAAGTTTAAAGTCTATGATCGAGATTCGCTTCGTTTGAGCTTAACAACTTAAAAAACAAAATATTACAGTAACAATCATAGCTATGAAAGGTCATACATAGCGGGCGTAAGCAAGTGGATAGCAGAATAGGGTCTGGGAGAAGTAGCAAAAGGAGAAAACATATTGAGAACTACAAAGGATAGGGAGAAGTGGAGAGCCATGATCGCCCACGTTCTGAAAGGAAGACGGCATATAAAAGAAAATAATATGTCAGTGATATTTCTGTTGCTTACAGGCTCAAATGTGAACGGCCAGTGTTTACTTATCAGCAAACAAATTAGACGCTTACAACTCAAATATAAACAACTAATATTTCCCTACACTCAAATCAAATAAATGCTTATAGAGTCAAGTATAAATGACCAATATTTATCTATTCCTGAACTAAGTAAATTCTTATGAACTCAAATATAAACGACCAATATTTATCTATTACCAAACCAAATAAATGCTTACAGACTCAAATTTCATTGATCAATATTTACCTAAACTAAATAAATGCTCATAAACTCTCCTCTACCTATCTCACCCACCCAACAGCAGGTGGGTGGGGTATGATCTTCCAGTATGTAAATGCAATGTCAATCGTTATTTTTGTCTCTTTAATTCCTGTTATTTAATTGTTCTCTCTCCTTAATAATGTTCTTTTTCTCATATCATCTAAACCTTTGGGTCTTAGTGGCTTTATTGCCTTGTTATGCGGAAATGATTCCAAAAGATTCCTAATTTTCGGGCTTAGCTGAATGCATCAGATAACATCATCAACAATAATAATAATAATAATAATAATAATAATAATAATAATAATAACAGACAGAACAGTCAAAGCTAACCACCCAGACATTGTTATTAGAGACCGCAAAAAAAAAAGAAAAAAAAAGTCTCCTGGATGACTGCAATTGTATCTTTCAAAAAAGCTATGAAAATTCCTGGAAGGACCTTGAAATCAAAAATTCTCACAAGTCAAAAAGAGCTTTATCTATGTAATTTTTTTCTTGGGTCAGTAGAAAATGTGGCATATGGGAACATCAAAGGAAATAAAATAATAATAATAACAATTCCTGTTGTAGTTGGAACTTCTGCCCTCGAATTGGTTGGAAAAGATTCCAGAAATGGTTATTCGATAACTGCATGGATGTACAAGGTATCAATTCTCATTGAAGGGATTCCTGGAAGCCCATGCCTTAAAAAATAAATACAAAAACTATTATTCTCAACAACATACCACATCTTTTTACGAAGAAAGAAATGACTTTATCTATGTCATTTTTTTTTAGGATGATCTTGGGAAAAAAAAAATCTTAGTATTGAAGATTATCGTAAATTCGATAGTGTACATTCCTGATGCCATTTCTGACCAATTAGGTCTTACCTCAATCATAAAAATGGAACCTATAAGTCTGGCGAAATAAACATCAATAGAGGAATATTTCAAGGGACCCGGAAAATGACAGAATGCGGTTACATCAGAAATCCAATTTTACATGGAAAAAATAAAATAATGAAAGGTAAACTAAAATGCTTCATTGGAATGAAATTCAATTTGGAATAATAATTTAACCCTGCTGTAACAATAAAAGAAGAACAAGAAGAAGAAGAAATGAGAGTGATGATGATGATGAAAGAGTGATGATGAATTGAATGAACAGAAAATTAATAACAACAACAACAACATCTTGAACTAACAGACAAATGGAAAAACAAGAAAGCTTCTTTCTAAGTTTAGATGCATCATCGTTTCTAAAGAAGGTACGAGGTCTTTCATCATACCATGTCTTGATGAAACAACGCTGGCAAGACAAACCTCTGACTTCCAGAACGTGCAAATAAACCCAATGTTGATAAAGTTAATACTTCGATGGTTACGAGCATCTGGATTAAAGTCTGAAACTGAAGGCTTTTATTTGCAGCGCAAGACAGGTCTTTTTTCACTAGTTTTCAGAGCAAATATCATACATAATAATGTGGATCCAAAATGCAGGTTCTGTGACAAATACCAAAAACAATAGACCATCTAATCTCAGGATGTTCTATACTTGTAAAAAAAATCAATCAAGGACAATGTGCAAACACTTTGGAAAATGTGTAAGCAAACAAACATCGGCCAGCGCCGGTTACAGAAATAGAAGATGTCACCATTCTATGATTATACAAATTTTATTGTCAAAAACCAGAAAGAAAAAAAACTGCCTACTAATTGATATGGCTTGTCCAATTTCCCAAGGAATTTGAAAAAACTATCAAAATACAAAGACCTGGAAATTGAAATAGAAAAAATGTTTGAAAACAAGAATAATACCAGTGGTAATTAACACATTGAAAGAATCCTAGAGAACTTTGTTATTTAAAAAAAAAAAAAAAAAATTAACATGAAATGTGGCCATAACAACACACCACGACCTGCCTTTAGGTCTTTCCGCAGACTTGGTAGGTGTTCGTTCAATCTAATAATAAGAAGAAGAAGAAGAAGAAGAAGATGATGATGATGATGATGATGATGATGATGAAGAAAACAACAACAACAATATAACAGTAAAAATGACTGTTTACTCGTTTCTCTTTCATCATACCATGTCTTGAAAAGTTTGACTTTAAACTTAGTTTTTTTTGTTTTTTTTTCCTGAAATGTGGTGTTGGTTAATAGTAGACATTTACTTGTTCCTGTTTTTCACTTTAAGTTTTTTTTTTGTTTTTTTTTACATTTTCCCTTTTATTTCTGTCTAGTCCTGGGTATGATGAGAAACTACATTCGGCAGCAAGGCATCTGATCAGGAAATTGGAGGTTCTGAGTAGCGGAGAACCACTTTTTAATTGCTGTTGTCCTCGGGTCAAATCTGATCCGGGGTGGTAGCACCTGTTAGGCTCCCAGCTATGGGAAAATGGTGAACTCCCAAGCCTACCAAAATAGTATGAAAGAATAAAAATACATTTGTATCATAAAAATATCAATAATACATTATTATATAGAGTTGCCAACAATACCTATTTATAATAAAATTAGCAACAATACATATTTAAAGCAAAATGACCAGTAATACAATTTATAGCAGAATGACCAACAATACATTTTATCTGTTGTCGAAGACATGCAATTGCGTTCAAAATATTTAGATTTTCACGTTAAATAAGCCATAGAAGTTGATAAGCTTCTATAGAAAACCAACCAACAATCTTGTTTCTGTCAATTTCCACCTCATCATCCTCTCTTTCTTCTTCTTCTTCTTCTTCTTCTTCTTCTTCTTCTTCTTCTTCTTCTTCTTCTATTATTACTACTACTACTACTACTGCATCTTCTCTTCCTCTTCATCTTATCCTCCTTTTCTTCTTCTTCTTCTTCTTCTTCTCAACCTCCTTGTCTTCTTCTTCTTTTTTACCGCCATCATCACCTTATTCCTGTTCTCTTTTCTCAGACAAGTACCCATGCCCACTCATACGCCAATCACAACAGTATCGTTTACCCGAAAATCCCACCCGCTTGTGCAACCTGTGCTCAAGCATCAACGATTGTCTCCATCTTACCAGTGCCATGGGAGTTTAGCAGATTCGGGTAAACACGCTAAAATAATTCTCGCAGACAAGAGTAGGTTATTTGTATTTTAAAAATGTTCTTTTATATATATATATATATATATATATATATATAAACAAAAGTTTTATACCATAAAATTTATATATATATATATGGTTTAAAAAATTAGCATATTTCTTTAAAAGAACCTTTTAGTCCAACACCTCTTCAGAAAGATTCATTGGGACAACAATAATCAAAATGGCGAAACTGAATGCGTGTGTGGGAGGGGTAAATTTTTTATGCGGATTTCTTGTTTTTAGTAATAAATTTATTTTAGTCGTGGCTGCTTATTTATTCCTTTACCACCCGCCGTGTTTAACTTTTTCAGTTTCGCCAATTTGATTATTGTGGTTCCAACGAATCTTTCTGAAGCCGTGTTGAACAAAAAAAAAACTTCCTTTCAAAAAATGCGTTCCGTCATTTTTAAAACTCTTTCTCTCTCTCTCTCTCTCTCTCTGTCTGTCTGTCTCTCTCTCTCTCTCTCTCTCTCTATATATATATATATATATATATATATATATATTGCGTGTATGTATTAAGATGGTCGTTGTAGGACCTGCTGAACTTCACCAAAACAGATGGACACTGATGGGACCTCCGTGTCGTGGTGAGACAACCACACTCTACACATTCTCCTTCCAACTACTGCTATAAACAACGGAAGTGAACGAAAACATTATAACTTTGTGTATATATGAAAGGGTTCATTTTCAGGCTCTACCAGACGGCCGGTTTCACTCTACATACTTTAGCGCCGTTACGATAACAACAGACCCGATAATTTTGATCAGACCTCATATATATATATATATATATATATATATATATATATATATATATATATATATATATATATAATTTTCTAAGCTAATGAATTTTTAATTATCAATCCAACAGATTTTCATCAGTTTATACGTTATCATTAATACATATTCATATTTGATCAGACACTGCTTATTTATTAAACAGTAAATTTATTTATTTTCGTCTACCTTTTCTCTTTTAGGCACGTCTGATTGAATAAATTACAAACATTATGTTTGCTTATTTTTATCATAATCCTTTCATATTCATGAATATTTTTCTGTATATTACATTCTTGCCTTATTCAATTGTAATATACGGAAAAATATTCGTGAATATGAAAGGATTATGATAAAAATAAGCAGGCATAATATTTGTTATTAATTCAATCAGACATATATATATATATATAATGAAGAATTGATAGAAGAATAATGAAGAATAGTTTTAGGTCGACCTTATTACTTCAGACGTTATTATTTTGGATACTCGTATTTGAAATAGACGTCTCATTTTTATTTTTACTTTAAGCAGTTGGACTGATGAATAAAAATCTGCCGGATTGTTTACGTTTGGATACGAAACTGAGTAGATATTAGAATTTCGAGGAATTTATAACGTAAAGGATTTTGCTTAGAGGCACAGTTCAGAACTTGCTTGATTGGTAAGCAACCTAACCTGTGTCCGTCTTTGTAGGAGAAACCGTCATTTGATCCGTTGTGCTTTACTGGTCTGCTACGAAGACCGTAATAATACAGAAGGGCTCCATTTTCACTTTCAAGGAAAGCACACTCTCCTCACTAAGATACTTTTCTCAGCAGACTTAGAAAAGCAACAGGGAATAATTGCATCTTACGAAATATTAGGATTTTGAGTCTTCAGTATTGTTTTTTTTTTTTTACGAGATAAGAAAATACTGTTTTATGTTGTATTCGAAACCTGGTGGTTTGTGAATCTTCCCTCAGCGAGATGTTCCTTTGGTAAAACAGAAATTAATAAAGGTTAGAGCGTTTGGGATACTAACAACCGTGTGGGTGTTCATTACAGAACGGGAATCTCTCTTGCTTCTGGGTGTGGCTTATACTGCCCGGACAGGATTTGAAAAGAGAAGGGAAATCCGACACACAAGAGTTATGCAAATTTGTGTCTCTCCTGTTGGTTATTCCTGTCGGATATTTTATGGGCAGTTTCTATAAGTCCTTAATCGTCCAAGAGAGAAAGAAAGAAAGAGATATAGTCAGAGAGAAAGAATGAGAGAGAAAGAGATAGATATATATATATAGAGAGAGAAAATACGAAAGAAAGATAGGTAGAGAGAATGAGAGAGAGAAAGAGAGATGGAGAGAGAGAGAGAGAGGACATAAATAACATTTCGAGGGTGGGGATTTTTTAAGTTGCAATTAGTTATTTTTCAGACACGCCTGCTTGTGAGATGGCCTTTCTCTATTGGTTCTCATATTAAATCTTTATTTCTTTTTAATTTCATTTTGACTTTTGGTTGAGCGTTTGGAGACGGATTTTTATATCGGCCTCTAAAATGACATTGTTTATTTTTGCAGGTTTCTTCTCAGCCCGACCGACTTTCCAAAATCTGACCAAATGACCACACATCATTATTTTTATTTTAAATGGCTTTTTGGCCGGGTCTGAAAATTTTTAGATCGCCTACGTGTAGTCTATTGACAAAATATATCATTTTATGATGTCATATAAGCAAATCATTATTCATATACCTCTTCCCATTTTACACACTGGCCAATTTAACGATTCTTGCGTGATATAGATAATTTACACCTGGGCTAAATCTTAGAGCAGATGGGCTTCTCTAGCTGTGGATGGCAAACAGTCTTGGAGATGGGTAAATCCCGTATATAACCCAAGAGACGCGCATTTTATTTGATAGATTTTACAAATATACTCTTAAAAATGCCATCATTTTTTTTCCTTTTTATACATTGATTACTCTCCTTTACTCACAAGCTGTGATCAGAATGCTAAGGCAGTTACTGGTTTTAGGATAGAAAATGCCTTTAATTGAATAACTAAATTTAATTACAAAATCCATCGACATAACAGTAGGTTATCTATAAACATTGCCCAAAAAAACAGATTAGATCATTGACTGAAGAGCGGAATTGTGAACTCTATGCTCTCGACTTTGCATAATGAGATTTAAAAAATCAAATTTGTAAAAATGTTGCTTTTTCATTGATTTAAATCTGGTCTTTTGTAATCTCTATTTCAGTGACTTTCTCACTGCCGTAGCATAGCTTCCCTGTACCGTTTTTATAAATACTTTCATGGTAATGGTTCCGATGAACTTTTTTCTATGGTACCTAGACTTTATGGATTTAAGCGCAATATTAGATTGGCGTCTGTTGTGGATTCCGGGTTGAAATCCGGTACCAATAAATAACAAACGCCAAGAATGAATATAGGAAAATAATGTATTAACGTAATAATACTTGTAAAGCAGGTTAGTAGTTCCAGGAATACGTGTTAGTAGCAAAATATATATACAGTCTTTAGTATTGAAGTATCGCTGTATGACTTATTACTGAGTCTACGTGCTCGCTCACTGTGACTCCTACAACGCTGTTACCTCATCCTCACTCTTCCGGTTACCTACAACCTTTTACTCTGTCACTCTGGACTCGACTCGACTCTTTGGTCTTACTCCCGTCTTACTCTCGTCTTCACGTAGCCGTACTATAAGTATACACTGGGTGAGTCCATTTGTGTAAAAAGGGGAGAACCCCTCAACAGCGGCAAAGTCTCATCATTTAAGAGATAAAATGTCTAGACGTAACCGTAAGTTTTGTATTCACAGTTTCTTCTATCACACTTTCCGCTTGTGGAATTCACTTCCGGTTTCATGCTTCCCTGCCAACTTTGATATTATAAAAATTAAATGCTATTTCAATCTTAATCTACTGTCTTTTTAATTCTTCTTTTATTGTTCTTTCTCCTTAATTTGCTTTTCTCATATTTTCTTGCACCCAGTAACCCCTTCGTCTGAGTGGTTTTATTTTCTTTCTTGGGGTGAAATGATTAAAAAATATTTAGGTAATTTTGCAATCAAAGTGGCTATATTTTTTTTGCATGAGTAAGATATAAATCTTGTCTTAATTCTACAGGGTGTGATGGGTAAATTTTAGACATTTTATATTTTTAATTTCGCGCATGCGTGTTGCTTGTTTTTTAATTTTGTCGATTTCACAGTATAGTAGGGTCAGTTGGACACCGTCTGTGAGAAACAGAGCATCATGACGCAATTCACTCTACCAGAAATTTGGAAACGGCATACTGTACTACTTAGCATTCAGCCTGGAAGCTCCAATAAAAAACATTTCAGTGTTTGGGTGTCAAGCTGAGGACAGTGCAGAGGATTTGGAAAGAGTTGGATGAGCCACCTAACTCCCGAGACTGCAACCCCTTTGATTATTATGTGTGAGGAGATGTTGAGCGAGAGACCAACAAACACCTTGTAACACCAAAGATGAACTGAAGGCAATGATTATGGCAGCATTCGGCACCTTAAAAAAAAGAGTTCGACCAGAAGAGTTACAGGTGATTCCGAAGTTGTCTGGAGGCTGTGGCTGAAACCAATGTCGATTTTATTGAAGAAATTTACTCTTTAGTATTTCAAGATATTTTTGTGTAACTTTGGTAAATATATCTGTTAAAATGAGATGTTAGTGTTATTTTCATTGTTGCGTAATTTAGATAACAGATTAGCTATCTCACCCTGCATTGTCACATGTAACAAGGAATTCGATATTTTAAATCATTAAATTAAAACTATACAAAAAAAAAAAAAAACAAAAAACAAAAAAAAACGCACCGATCCGTACGGATTAAAAATAATGTCAAAAGTTACATTACCTTGTTCATATTTTCTGCCAGTGTAATCTCGTATTTTTAGCGATAAAATTAATTCTGTTGTTGCAGATGAGAAAGAATTTTGGCTTTTAATCATTAAAGTAAGACTCTCCAAAGAAAGTTCAGATGGTACGTAGAGTCAAAAAAATAAAAAAAAATAGTCAAAATTTAAATAATTTTACAATTTCATTGGTTATATTATTCTCATGATTAATTTAGAATCTTTATC